AATTAATTATTTAAATAATATAATATACCTACATACCACATTTAATTAAATATAGGAATTTAATTTTAAAATTCAATTTTATAATGCCTAAAATGATACATTGAAATCTTTTGTTTCAATTTAATTTTACCAAATTATTATATTATATGTTTTATACTCACATGATTCTTAACATTTAAAATTTAGATTTTATTTAATTACAACCCAAAATGTATCTTTAACGAAAAATGTCATGTACTACAGCCAAATCTCGATAACATATCTCCCCAATAGCATATTCCATATGTCCACAATTTTGTCCCGAGCGAGGTCTTATCGAGATTTGAATGCCCTTTTAATAATTAAATAATTGTATTTTATATGTTCGTGTTCATAAAACTTATTATATATTTTGTACTTTTTTAAATGTTAAATAATTGTCTGATAGACAATACATATGTATGTTTAATTAAATTGAATTCTTGAAGTTTATATAAAAATTAATTAAATATAGGAAACTAAAATTGAAACCGATTTAGGGAAATAAATTAAATTGGATTTAAAACCCCCTAAACTCTTTAACAACAATTTTCAAAAATTTTTTAAATAATTTCATCTATTTATTAAATATTAAAATTTATTATTATGCAAAATATTTTCAAAAAAGAAACATTAAAAATGGCATAATAAAGCTGTAATAATATATTGGTTAAATTTATAAAATTTGGAATGTGAAAGAGGAAATAAAATATATTTAAATAGTAAGAGTGCGGGCATATAGGGGACGAGCAGAGGCATTCGGTGGATCGCTGCCAGAGTAGTTGGAGTGAATGACTGATGGAATAATCCTTCTGCGTGCCTGGCCAGGGCTTTGAGTAGTTGTTGTCATTCCATAATTAAGCGTTGCCGTAGGAAATATGAATGTCGGAGTGAGGGAATTATAAGAGAGAATCCGCGGTAATAATAATTAGTAATTACTTTTTGAATTTATAATAATAATTAATAATAATAATTAATAATATAATAAATAATTAAATAAATAATTATTATAATAATAATTAATAATAATAATTACTTTTTGAATTTCCGATGCGCAAGTAGCAAAAATGCATCCTTTTTGGCGCCAAAAATTCAAATTTTTGGCAAAAATGACGTTCGATATTTTTTTCGATTTTTTGTAATTTGGTCGGTCGATAGTTTCGATTTTTAAATTTTCTCGGTCGATATTTATCGATAAATATCGAAAAAATATCGCATATCGAAAAATATCGAAAAAGTCAAAATTTACTCGGTCGATATTTTTTCGATAAATATCGAAAAAAATATCGAAAAATATCGATAATTATCGATAAAAAATCTTATCGAGCCGGGCTCTAATAAATATATATTAAACATAATTTGCTGGTTTACCAAGTACGTCGTTTCTGTCCCTATACCAGACTCCAAAGCTAGAACAATAGCTCTAGAATTTCTCAAGAATTGCTACTTAAAATTCGGCGGATGCACAGAATTGATTAGCGACAACGCTACAGCTTTTACAAGTGATTTTTTCAAAGAATTCTGCGCACTCCTTTATATAAATAAGACATATGCCACGCCATATTTCTCACAAGGAAACGCTATAACAGAGCGCAGTTTTAGAACTTTTAATAACATTTTGGCGAAATATGTAACAAAAGACACCCCGGATTTTGACGAATTTCTAGATTTCGCAAACTTTTGCTATAACACCTCCTGCCACACATCAACAGGCGAATCTCCCTTTTTCTTAGTTTTCGGGAGGGATCCTATATTTTGTATCGATCAGATACTGGATGCGCGTGTTCACATTCCAGTTGCGATTAGTGAGGAGGCAGAATTTAAAATCAAGTTTCACTACGCTAAGAGAGGCCTGGAGGATAACCGCCGAAACAAGCATAGAGGCCCAAGAGAAAATGAAGGAACAATACGATAAATTACAGAGAACTCTTGAAATAAAGATAGGGGATAGGGTCCTATTAAGGAATTACGCGGGACAAAAGGGAACATCCAAAAAATTCAATTTACCGTGGAAGGGTATTTATCGTGTAATTGAGATAGAGGGATTACACGTCATAATCACCAGTTGTGTGTCGCCTCAGTCTAACCCAAAGCGAGTGCATATTAATCAAATAAAAAAGTGTTTTGAAGATTTAGGACCAAATTGTACAGTACCTAATATACCGAGCGATGAAGAGGTTGAATTTGAGAAATCGGGCGCTAGGGAAATCACCAACAAACCCGGGTACTCACATCCATCTAGACCACAATCAGTACATAATGAAGAAGAAACAATACAGGATAAAGTAGAGGACAAAATAAAATACTCCTTAAGGCCAAGAGAGAAAATACTATTACCGGCAAAATTTAGAGACGGTTAAATAAAAAGAAACCAGGACTAACCGAATAAGATGTACATATATTTAATAGCTCTACTAACCAAAAACACACAAGTTACGAAAGTAATAAAGCCGCGGCCAACTCGCTAAATCTTGAGCAAAGAAGAATAAGCGAAAAACAATTCCCCCGAAATGAATCGAACCCACCCATCAAAGAATGCATGCAATAACACTAAACACTACTCTAAAACTGAATTAAGACTGCTAATAATAGTATCACACATGAGATCATAAACAAAAAAAAACATTAAATTTCTAAAAGGGAATATTTTTCCAAATATTTTCCTGTTTTATATATTTACCAGCATGTTTGGTTTAATTGGGCCATAAAACTTTTTATTTTTTTTTAACGAATCTTAATTTACTTTATGAATATAAATGAAGAAAAAACTATAAAGTCGAGAACATAAAAAAATTTTACGAGAGTAATTTCTTTTAAAATTCTGGGTCATAAACTGGTTCCATTAAAATCTACTTGATTAGATTATGATTATTTTTGGAAATGGTCTGGAGAACAATAAGGAAATAACCTAGTATTACCTCAAACCCCCAAGGAAAATTGTTTCTGATTTATTTAACGCTTTAGAATTTTTAATGAGAGATAAGAAAAAATTTAATAACTTGTTATGAATTTAAATCACAATTACACGATTAGCCTAGTTAGTAATTTCAGGACTAAAATTAATAAAGAGATTGTTAGGATGCGATTCAATTAAACAAATTTCTTATCGAACTTCAACTATTGGGTTTAGTGTTTTGATCTCTACAAAAATAATTGTTTATTTTTGCAAATTATTTTAATGTTATTCAAAATGAGATTGGTTGACTGGTTGTCTGCTTTTTATTCTAAAAGATTTTCTCTCCTCCCTTTTTATTCCTAGTTTTTTATTTTCCCATCTATTTTGTAAAATGTTACATTTTTTTTAAGGCTGGTGTGTGAATAATTAATGTTTATTGTAAACACACTTTTTTTTAGCAAAAGCAAAAAAAAATTGTGCTTTGTTTATCCCTTTTTACTCCCAGATAACCTTTGATCAAATGTGAATTGTACGGTAATATGTGTCAGTTTTGTGCAAAGCACATATCTACAATGCTATTGCCTAACAAAGGTTTAATGGAATCTACAGGGTGCGGCATAAGTAACCGGACACTTGTTTTCTCTCATAACTTTATTAAAACACAATCAAATAAAATCAAAATACAATCAGATGATAGAGAATTAAATAAGGAACAAAAATAATCAAGAAGATTCGAAATGCCCACCCTTGGCTTTGGTACAGAGGCGACGGCGTGAAGAAAAATTTATGCAAATAGCACGCACCTCCTTGAGTGTAATTAAGTCCCACTCTCGGGTGAGTGAGTGTCGCAGAGACTCCAAACTTTTTTGAGGCTTAGCACAGACCCTGGACTCCAAAATAGACCAAAAAGAATAATCCTCGGGTTTAAATCCAGGGAGTGGGGCGGTAATTCCTGAGCGCTGATGAACCCAGGAAAATTGGCCTTGCACCAGTCCTGAACTTCTTTCGCCTTGTGTGCCGGAGCAGAGTCCTGTTGGAAAATCCAGACTCTGCGACTGAAATTGCTCTTGAACCGAGGCTTCACAACACGCTAAAAAAATTCTCGCAAGTAATAGTCTTTGTTGACTTTTACACCAAAATCCACGAAAAAAGGGGTGTTTTGACTGACGCGCTAATACCGGCCCAAACCATGACAGATTGGGGATGTTGGGAATGAGTGATAAGTTTATCGGAAAGAGGAAATTCTGTAGTCCAAATTATATCATTTTGATGTTTGTGAACGGCTTTTATTGTAAAAATTTTTTCGTTTGTGAAAAGAATGTCCGGACATGCGTGCTACTGGAGGAGGAGATGAAATTTTGCGGACAGAATTTTTTTGCCAAAAAAGTGAAACTATTAGAATCACGTTGACTAGCCATAATAGAGAATTGAATGAGCTAAAAAATAAGCAAAAAATCAATTAAAAATATTGACAATAAAAAAAGTTATAAGGAATTTAAAAGTGTCCGGTTACTTATGCCGCACCCTGTATAATTTTAAATAGGAAGGAGAGAAAAAATAACATTTTACCGGGTTGAATAATTACATTTTGAATAATCTATACATGTGAGTAATATCTATGTTTACGTAGGTTCTGAAAAACTTTTCTAATTTACATAAATCTATAATTTGAGATGAAATAAAAAATGAAATCTTTTCCTAAAGAGAGTCAACATTCAAATTTATATTTTTAAAATTGTACTCGCAATTTGAATATTTTTGTTAATATTGTTCTTATGCATGCATGTGTTTTGTTGAGTTTATTCCCTTTTAGAAATTTAATGTTTTTTTTTGTTTATGATCTCATGTGTGATACTATTATTAGCAGTCTTAATTCAGTTTTAGAGTAGTGTTTAGTGTTATTGCATGCATTCTTTGATGGGTGGGTTCGATTCATTTCGGGGGAATTGTTTTTCGCTTATTCTTCTTTGCTCAAGATTTAGCGAGTTGGCCGCGGCTTTATTACTTTCGTAACTTGTGTGTTTTTGGTTAGTAGAGCTATTAAATATATGTACATCTTATTCGGTTAGTCCTGGTTTCTTTTTATTTAACCGTCTCTAAATTTTGCCGGTAATAGTATTTTCTCTCTTGGCCTTAAGGAGTATTTTATTTTGTCCTCTACTTTATCCTGTATTGTTTCTTCTTCATTATGTACTGATTGTGGTCTAGATGGATGTGAGTACCCGGGTTTGTTGGTGATTTCCCTAGCGCCCGATTTCTCAAATTCAACCTCTTCATCGCTCGGTATATTAGGTACTGTACAATTTGGTCCTAAATCTTCAAAACACTTTTTTATTTGATTAATATGCACTCGCTTTGGGTTAGACTGAGGCGACACACAACTGGTGATTATGACGTGTAATCCCTCTATCTCAATTACACGATAAATACCCTTCCACGGTAAATTGAATTTTTTGGATGTTCCCTTTTGTCCCGCGTAATTCCTTAATAGGACCCTATCCCCTATCTTTATTTCAAGAGTTCTCTGTAATTTATCGTATTGTTCCTTCATTTTCTCTTGGGCCTCTATGCTTGTTTCGGCGGTTATCCTCCAGGCCTCTCTTAGCGTAGTGAAACTTGATTTTAAATTCTGCCTCCTCACTAATCGCAACTGGAATGTGAACACGCGCATCCAGTATCTGATCGATACAAAATATAGGATCCCTCCCGAAAACTAAGAAAAAGGGAGATTCGCCTGTTGATGTGTGGCAGGAGGTGTTATAGCAAAAGTTTGCGAAATCTAGAAATTCGTCAAAATCCGGGGTGTCTTTTGTTACATATTTCGCCAAAATGTTATTAAAAGTTCTAAAACTGCGCTCTGTTATAGCGTTTCCTTGTGAGAAATATGGCGTGGCATATGTCTTATTTATATAAAGGAGTGCGCAGAATTCTTTGAAAAAATCACTTGTAAAAGCTGTAGCGTTGTCGCTAATCAATTCTGTGCATCCGCCGAATTTTAAGTAGCAATTCTTGAGAAATTCTAGAGCTATTGTTCTAGCTTTGGAGTCTGGTATAGGGACAGAAACGACGTACTTGGTAAACCAGCAAATTATGTTTAATATATATTTATTAGAGCCCGGCTCGATAAGATTTTTTATCGATAATTATCGATATTTTTCGATATTTTTTTCGATATTTATCGAAAAAATATCGACCGAGTAAATTTTGACTTTTTCGATATTTTTCGATATGCGATATTTTTTCGATATTTATCGATAAATATCGACCGAGAAAATTTAAAAATCGAAACTATCGACCGACCAAATTACAAAAAATCGAAAAAAATATCGAACGTCATTTTTGCCAAAAATTTGAATTTTTGGCGCCAAAAAGGATGCATTTTTGCTACTTGCGCATCGGAAATTCAAAAAGTAATTATTATTATTAATTATTATTATAATAATTATTTATTTAATTATTTATTATATTATTAATTATTATTATTAATTATTATTATAAATTCAAAAAGTAATTACTAATTATTATTACCGCGGATTCTCTCTTATAATTCCCTCACTCCGACATTCATATTTCCTACGGCAACGCTTAATTATGGAATGACAACAACTACTCAAAGCCCTGGCCAGGCACGCAGAAGGATTATTCCATCAGTCATTCACTCCAACTACTCTGGCAGCGATCCACCGAATGCCTCTGCTCGTCCCCTATATGCCCGCACTCTTACTATTTAAATATATTTTATTTCCTCTTTCACATTCCAAATTTTATAAATTTAACCAATATATTATTACAGCTTTATTATGCCATTTTTAATGTTTCTTTTTTGAAAATATTTTGCATAATAATAAATTTTAATATTTAATAAATAGATGAAATTATTTAAAAAATTTTTGAAAATTGTTGTTAAAGAGTTTAGGGGGTTTTAAATCCAATTTAATTTATTTCCCTAAATCGGTTTCAATTTTAGTTTCCTATATTTAATTAATTTTTATATAAACTTCAAGAATTCAATTTAATTAAACATACATATGTATTGTCTATCAGACAATTATTTAACATTTAAAAAAGTACAAAATATATAATAAGTTTTATGAACACGAACATATAAAATACAATTATTTAATTATTAAAAGGGCATTCAAATCTCGATAAGACCTCGCTCGGGACAAAATTGTGGACATATGGAATATGCTATTGGGGAGATATGTTATCGAGATTTGGCTGTAGTACATGACATTTTTCGTTAAAGATACATTTTGGGTTGTAATTAAATAAAATCTAAATTTTAAATGTTAAGAATCATGTGAGTATAAAACATATAATATAATAATTTGGTAAAATTAAATTGAAACAAAAGATTTCAATGTATCATTTTAGGCATTATAAAATTGAATTTTAAAATTAAATTCCTATATTTAATTAAATGTGGTATGTAGGTATATTATATTATTTAAATAATTAATTTTAAATAAATCTAGGTACTTTATGGATATATCCCCCCTCCCTCCCCCTATTTTGAGTCTCAGAGTTTTCCTTAATATGCAATAATGGTCAGCCTTTTTTCCTTCCATAATTTCACTCCATTTCCCTGTGGTGTGTGCAAATTAAGGTTGTCGGATCCGGATATCCGAAGATTTCCAACTATCCGACAACCTTAGTGCAAATGAGAAAAATTTGGTTACATTTCTCTGTAATTAAACGGTTAATAAATAAATGACTGAGAAATAATCTTTTATTTACTAATGCCTCTCATTTAAATACGCCATAGGGAAATGGAGTGAAATTATGGAAGAAAGGCTGACCTTCCTTCCATGATATATCCATAAAGTACCTAAATCTATGAATGTAATTTTATGGGAGCCAGGCCTATCGGAAAAGGGAGATCATTTCAATGTACCTACCTTCCAATTTTATATAGATAACTTATCTCATAATATTATATTTGATTTGATTATTTCAAAAAATTCAAAATTTTGATTAGCCCTATAGTTATGACGTCTAATACAGTAATTAATTTACTATAATAATTTATAAAGAGCTTGCACTTTTTTCGTGTATTTAAAGTATAATACAGAAAAAAAGAGAATGATGTAAGTAGGTTTTTATAAAAATAGTTTTTTTTTTAATTTAATAAAATAAAATTCTTTGTTCTGGCAATGATGCTAAATAAATGCCAAAATTAAAAAGTACAAGTAACGTAAATGCACGCAAAGTATGTACTTTGTTTGGCTTTGAACTTTGGCATTTTCTTTTTTTTTATTAAAAAAAGTACATGGACCAAAAAAAGTTTTATTTAATTTTCTAAATATATTTTTTTGTCTAAAGGATTTTTGGTCCCTAGAGGGGGTAATTCTCTTTAAATATAGAAATTCTTTCGAGGGCCACCCAAATCTGGAGGACAAAGAAAAATGGGAAAAGAAATTTTGGAAGAACCAAAAAAAGCTTTATTTAATTTTCATTAAATAAGATTTGTTTATTTATTTTTATGAAAATAAATAAATAGTAAATTATTAAAGAAAGAAATTATCCTTTTTATTTAAAAAAAATAAATATTTTGGAGTTCTGAAAAAAGGATAGATTTAAATTTTAAATGGCTAATAAAAAGTTGCTTTATTTTTTATATCTCCTTGTCAATACTTTCCTAATCCCAACTTTTCTTTATTTATACTAAATTAACCTTCTTTATGTAGTTACAATCTTTTTTTATTAATTATAAGTTTCCAAATTAATTTTTTAAATTCTATATTTAGTTTAATAAAAATATTTTATTTGGCTTATTTTAATAATAATATTTTTATTTTTAAATTAATTTACAAAAATATAATTACTAATCAGTTACTCACTTTTTATTATTATACATCTGTTCCTTTCTCACAAAAAATGTTTTTTTGGAAACGTATACATAGTATATAATTTTTGCATCCGTCTTTCCCCTCTATTTAAAACAAACGTCCAAACGCTTACGCAAAAATAACTGGCGGCTTTTTTAAAACTATTTTTGGAAATATTTCAACAAAAAATTATAAATGTATATTTTCTATTTTTGGCTTTCTACCAAAAAAATTTCTTGCCAAAAAAATTTTAAAAGATTGGAAAAGTACAAAAAAATCACGAGTAAAACAAAAATCGTGATGTACCTCTAAAAAGCTGAAAATTTTATTTGAAATATTTTTTTAGTATTTCCGTTATTTATTAAAAGAAATTTAGACATTTTTTTGTTTTTAAAAAATATTTTAAATTAATTAAATATATTTCTTTTGTAATTACAAAAATCAACATTTTATTAGTCCAAAAATTAATTTTTAAAAATAAAATTAAACAATTATAAGCACTTTTATTTGTGTTTTATTTAATAAAAAAATAATTATTTTGTCTGGTTCCGCTTAATATATTAAAATATTTTTTGTCGGAAATAGAGAAAAGTACAAATTAATACAAGTACACATTTACTTTTATTTAATATTTCCTCAAAATTTAAAGGGAGAGAGAGAAAAAGCTTTATATAAGTACAAATAAATTAAAAAGAAAAGATCGAAGCACATATTTTTAATTGATGAAAGAAATAATTATTTATTTATTTTTATTTTTTAAAAGTACATATAAATGCGCGGAAAGTGCAATTTATTTATTTAATAATTAATAGTATTTCCTCCCCAAAAATAAAGAGAAGCATGTGAGTAGACAAAAAGGAAATACGTAAATTGCTTAAACTTATAATGAAAAAAAAAGAAGATTAAATTGTTTTTATGTTAAAAAATTTAAAAAATCAGGGGGAGGGAGGGGGATATTTAAGAAATTTGAAATAAACGAAGATGATAAAACACAGAATTTTTCTAACTTTTCAAAATTTCTTAAAGTTTTCAAAATTTCCAGTTCTCGGAAATGAAAGAAAATTTTTTAAAAAATTCTATATTTAATTTAAAAAGGTAGATTGCTATTTAAATTTCAGACAAAAATTATAGTTAATATAAAGTTAGAAGGTCAAAAAAATATTTATAGAATTGTATTAAATAAAAAATATAATTTTTAATTTATATCCAAATGAGGAACAAAAAATTTCTGAATAATGAACTAATAAAAAGTGAAATATTCAAAGAAATAGGAAAGAGATTCTTTGAAATAAAAAAATACAAAAGGCGACATTTATGTATATTTAAAAAAAATTTAAAATAAAAAAAAGGGCGGTACGACAATTGCGGATACGCACGTGCGGATGCGACGATTGCGGATATAAAATTTTTAAAAAGTTTAAGATTTTTTAAAGTTTTCAGTGCCACATCTGTCTAAAAATGATTCGGAAACCGTCAGAAGTCTGAAGCTGACAGCCGGGACAAAAAAAAACGGAATATCAATTCAATAATTTTTAAAATTTTTAAAAAAACTCCGCCCAAAAATTTATTTTTTTATCTTAGAAAATCTTTTTTTTTCTACATATCTATGTATATATCGAAAATTTAATTAAAATTTTTTTGCTAATTTTAACCTAATTAAAATTCAAATATTAAATATTTCTTTTTTTGGTGTTACGACAATTGCGGATACGCACGTGCGGATGCGACAATTGCGGATTAAAAAATTTTTTTAAAAATTTTAAAAATTATTGAATTGATATTCCGTTTTTTTTTTGTCCCGGCTGTCAGCTTCAGACTTCTGACGGTTTCCGAATCATTTTTAGACAGATGTGGCACTGAAAACTTTAAAAAATCTTAAACTTTTTAAAAATTTTATATCCGCAATCGTCGCATCCGCACGTGCGTATCCGCAATTGTCGTACCGCCCTTTTTTTTATTTTAAATTTTTTTTAAATATACATAAATGTCGCCTTTTGTATTTTTTTATTTCAAAGAATCTCTTTCCTATTTCTTTGAATATTTCACTTTTTATTAGTTCATTATTCAGAAATTTTTTGTTCCTCATTTGGATATAAATTAAAAATTATATTTTTTATTTAATACAATTCTATAAATATTTTTTTGACCTTCTAACTTTATATTAACTATAATTTTTGTCTGAAATTTAAATAGCAATCTACCTTTTTAAATTAAATATAGAATTTTTTAAAAAATTTTCTTTCATTTCCGAGAACTGGAAATTTTGAAAACTTTAAGAAATTTTGAAAAGTTAGAAAAATTCTGTGTTTTATCATCTTCGTTTATTTCAAATTTCTTAAATATCCCCCTCCCTCCCCCTGATTTTTTAAATTTTTTAACATAAAAACAATTTAATCTTCTTTTTTTTTCATTATAAGTTTAAGCAATTTACGTATTTCCTTTTTGTCTACTCACATGCTTCTCTTTATTTTTGGGGAGGAAATACTATTAATTATTAAATAAATAAATTGCACTTTCCGCGCATTTATATGTACTTTTAAAAAATAAAAATAAATAAATAATTATTTCTTTCATCAATTAAAAATATGTGCTTCGATCTTTTCTTTTTAATTTATTTGTACTTATATAAAGCTTTTTCTCTCTCTCCCTTTAAATTTTGAGGAAATATTAAATAAAAGTAAATGTGTACTTGTATTAATTTGTACTTTTCTCTATTTCCGACAAAAAATATTTTAATATATTAAGCGGAACCAGACAAAATAATTATTTTTTTATTAAATAAAACACAAATAAAAGTGCTTATAATTGTTTAATTTTATTTTTAAAAATTAATTTTTGGACTAATAAAATGTTGATTTTTGTAATTACAAAAGAAATATATTTAATTAATTTAAAATATTTTTTAAAAACAAAAAAATGTCTAAATTTCTTTTAATAAATAACGGAAATACTAAAAAAATATTTCAAATAAAATTTTCAGCTTTTTAGAGGTACATCACGATTTTTGTTTTACTCGTGATTTTTTTGTACTTTTCCAATCTTTTAAAATTTTTTTGGCAAGAAATTTTTTTGGTAGAAAGCCAAAAATAGAAAATATACATTTATAATTTTTTGTTGAAATATTTCCAAAAATAGTTTTAAAAAAGCCGCCAGTTATTTTTGCGTAAGCGTTTGGACGTTTGTTTTAAATAGAGGGGAAAGACGGATGCAAAAATTATATACTATGTATACGTTTCCAAAAAAACATTTTTTGTGAGAAAGGAACAGATGTATAATAATAAAAAGTGAGTAACTGATTAGTAATTATATTTTTGTAAATTAATTTAAAAATAAAAATATTATTATTAAAATAAGCCAAATAAAATATTTTTATTAAACTAAATATAGAATTTAAAAAATTAATTTGGAAACTTATAATTAATAAAAAAAGATTGTAACTACATAAAGAAGGTTAATTTAGTATAAATAAAGAAAAGTTGGGATTAGGAAAGTATTGACAAGGAGATATAAAAAATAAAGCAACTTTTTATTAGCCATTTAAAATTTAAATCTATCCTTTTTTCAGAACTCCAAAATATTTATTTTTTTTAAATAAAAAGGATAATTTCTTTCTTTAATAATTTACTATTTATTTATTTTCATAAAAATAAATAAACAAATCTTATTTAATGAAAATTAAATAAAGCTTTTTTTGGTTCTTCCAAAATTTCTTTTCCCATTTTTCTTTGTCCTCCAGATTTGGGTGGCCCTCGAAAGAATTTCTATATTTAAAGAGAATTACCCCCTCTAGGGACCAAAAATCCTTTAGACAAAAAAATATATTTAGAAAATTAAATAAAACTTTTTTTGGTCCATGTACTTTTTTTAATAAAAAAAAGAAAATGCCAAAGTTCAAAGCCAAACAAAGTACATACTTTGCGTGCATTTACGTTACTTGTACTTTTTAATTTTGGCATTTATTTAGCATCATTGCCAGAACAAAGAATTTTATTTTATTAAATTAAAAAAAAAACTATTTTTATAAAAACCTACTTACATCATTCTCTTTTTTTCTGTATTATACTTTAAATACACGAAAAAAGTGCAAGCTCTTTATAAATTATTATAGTAAATTAATTACTGTATTAGACGTCATAACTATAGGGCTAATCAAAATTTTGAATTTTTTGAAATAATCAAATCAAATATAATATTATGAGATAAGTTATCTATATAAAATTGGAAGGTAGGTACATTGAAATGATCTCCCTTTTCCGATAGGCCTGGCTCCCATAAAATTACATTCATAGATTTAGGTACTTTATGGATATATCATGGAAGGAAGGTCAGCCTTTCTTCCATAATTTCACTCCATTTCCCTATGGCGTATTTAAATGAGAGGCATTAGTAAATAAAAGATTATTTCTCAGTCATTTATTTATTAACCGTTTAATTACAGAGAAATGTAACCAAATTTTTCTCATTTGCACTAAGGTTGTCGGATAGTTGGAAATCTTCGGATATCCGGATCCGACAACCTTAATTTGCACACACCACAGGGAAATGGAGTGAAATTATGGAAGGAAAAAAGGCTGACCATTATTGCATATTAAGGAAAACTCTGAGACTCAAAATAGGGGGAGGGAGGGGGGATATATCCATAAAGTACCTAGATTTATTTAAAATTAATTATTTAAATAATATAATATACCTACATACCACATTTAATTAAATATAGGAATTTAATTTTAAAATTCAATTTTATAATGCCTAAAATGATACATTGAAATCTTTTGTTTCAATTTAATTTTACCAAATTATTATATTATATGTTTTATACTCACATGATTCTTAACATTTAAAATTTAGATTTTATTTAATTACAACCCAAAATGTATCTTTAACGAAAAATGTCATGTACTACAGCCAAATCTCGATAACATATCTCCCCAATAGCATATTCCATATGTCCACAATTTTGTCCCGAGCGAGGTCTTATCGAGATTTGAATGCCCTTTTAATAATTAAATAATTGTATTTTATATGTTCGTGTTCATAAAACTTATTATATATTTTGTACTTTTTTAAATGTTAAATAATTGTCTGATAGACAATACATATGTATGTTTAATTAAATTGAATTCTTGAAGTTTATATAAAAATTAATTAAATATAGGAAACTAAAATTGAAACCGATTTAGGGAAATAAATTAAATTGGATTTAAAACCCCCTAAACTCTTTAACAACAATTTTCAAAAATTTTTTAAATAATTTCATCTATTTATTAAATATTAAAATTTATTATTATGCAAAATATTTTCAAAAAAGAAACATTAAAAATGGCATAATAAAGCTGTAATAATATATTGGTTAAATTTATAAAATTTGGAATGTGAAAGAGGAAATAAAATATATTTAAATAGTAAGAGTGCGGGCATATAGGGGACGAGCAGAGGCATTCGGTGGATCGCTGCCAGAGTAGTTGGAGTGAATGACTGATGGAATAATCCTTCTGCGTGCCTGGCCAGGGCTTTGAGTAGTTGTTGTCATTCCATAATTAAGCGTTGCCGTAGGAAATATGAATGTCGGAGTGAGGGAATTATAAGAGAGAATCCGCGGTAATAATAATTAGTAATTACTTTTTGAATTTATAATAATAATTAATAATAATAATTAATAATATAATAAATAATTAAATAAATAATTATTATAATAATAATTAATAATAATAATTACTTTTTGAATTTCCGATGCGCAAGTAGCAAAAATGCATCCTTTTTGGCGCCAAAAATTCAAATTTTTGGCAAAAATGACGTTCGATATTTTTTTCGATTTTTTGTAATTTGGTCGGTCGATAGTTTCGATTTTTAAATTTTCTCAGTCGATATTTATCGATAAATATCGAAAAAATATCGCATATCGAAAAATATCGAAAAAGTCAAAATTTACTCGGTCGATATTTTTTCGATAAATATCGAAAAAAATATCGAAAAATATCGATAATTATCGATAAAAAATCTTATCGAGCCGGGCTCTAATAAATATATATTAAACATAATTTGCTGGTTTACCAAGTACGTCGTTTCTGTCCCTATACCAGACTCCAAAGCTAGAACAATAGCTCTAGAATTTCTCAAGAATTGCTACTTAAAATTCGGCGGATGCACAGAATTGATTAGCGACAACGCTACAGCTTTTACAAGTGATTTTTTCAAAGAATTCTGCGCACTCCTTTATATAAATAAGACATATGCCACGCCATATTTCTCACAAGGAAACGCTATAACAGAGCGCAGTTTTAGAACTTTTAATAACATTTTGGCGAAATATGTAACAAAAGACACCCCGGATTTTGACGAATTTCTAGATTTCGCAAACTTTTGCTATAACACCTCCTGCCACACATCAACAGGCGAATCTCCCTTTTTCTTAGTTTTCGGGAGGGATCCTATATTTTGTATCGATCAGATACTGGATGCGCGTGTTCACATTCCAGTTGCGATTAGTGAGGAGGCAGAATTTAAAATCAAGTTTCACTACGCTAAGAGAGGCCTGGAGGATAACCGCCGAAACAAGCATAGAGGCCCAAGAGAAAATGAAGGAACAATACGATAAATTACAGAGAACTCTTGAAATAAAGATAGGGGATAGGGTCCTATTAAGGAATTACGCGGGACAAAAGGGAACATCCAAAAAATTCAATTTACCGTGGAAGGGTATTTATCGTGTAATTGAGATAGAGGAGGGATTACACGTCATAATCACCAGTTGTGTGTCGCCTCAGTCTAACCCAAAGCGAGTGCATATTAATCAAATAAAAAAGTGTTTTGAAGATTTAGGACCAAATTGTACAGTACCTAATATACCGAGCGATGAAGAGGTTGAATTTGAGAAATCGGGCGCTAGGGAAATCACCAACAAACCCGGGTACTCACATCCATCTAGACCACAATCAGTACATAATGAAGAAGAAACAATACAGGATAAAGTAGAGGACAAAATAAAATACTCCTTAAGGCCAAGAGAGAAAATACTATTACCGGCAAAATTTAGAGACGGTTAAATAAAAAGAAACCAGGACTAACCGAATAAGATGTACATATATTTAATAGCTCTACTAACCAAAAACACACAAGTTACGAAAGTAATAAAGCCGCGGCCAACTCGCTAAATCTTGAGCAAAGAAGAATAAGCGAAAAACAATTCCCCCGAAATGAATCGAACCCACCCATCAAAGAATGCATGCAATAACACTAAACACTACTCTAAAACTGAATTAAGACTGCTAATAATAGTATCACACATGAGATCATAAACAAAAAAAAACATTAAATTTCTAAAAGGGAATATTTTTCCAAATATTTTCCTGTTTTATATATTTACCAGCATGTTGGAGATGTCTGAGGATTAAGTTGGATGTATACGGATCAAATGGGATATCGGTGATATCCGGTGATTTGGACGGGTATCCCCTTTAATCCTTTAAAATCCCTTTATACCACTCCACAGTTATTCTTCTTGATCAGCCGATGTCACGCACACATCTTGATATTCACTTAAATCCTCTAACTCCTCCTATATCCCTCTTAATCCTTTTTAATCAGCTTAAACAACAAGGACTCAGCTGATTTATATACAGGGAGAATTGTTCCAAGAGCACTGTTCTGAAAACGGAAGACGTTGTTCCGAGAACATGAGAAGTTGTTCCGAGAACGAGAGACGCTGTTCTCGGAAAATTTAATGGGTACATCAACCGGCCAATTCTCATAATGTCCGCACTCGACCGGCCACACTTAACTGATCCCAACCCCCACCTGCGGAGCAGGACGAATAGGCGCGGCCGAATAGGCGCCGAGACAAATAGGCGCGAGACGAATAGGCGCGGGGCGCGAGACGAATAATCACCATTCGACTCAACTCGACGATCTCTTTCGAATGACATATATTTTGACCTATTTCGAGTCTGTTCGTTTTCCGAAATTTTTCCCAAAAAGGATTATTTTTGATATTTTATACAAGTGCATGAACATGCAAAAAACAAGTAAAAAGGAGGATTATTTTTTGGTATTTAACAGGTATGATTTTTGAGAAGACTCATTTTCTAAAAAAATGGAACAATTTAAGAATTTCAAACCTTTTGATTTGAAAAAAATCTGAAGAAAAAATCAAAGAAAAAAATCAGAAGAAAAAATCAGAGAAAAAATCAGAAAAAAAGTCAGAAGAAAAATCAGAACAAAAAATCAGAAAAAAATCAGAACAAAAAAATCAAAAAAAAAATCAGAAGAAAATCAGAAAAAAATTCTAGGAAAAAATAATTTCGGGCGCCTATTCGTCCCGCGCCTATTCGTCTCGCGCCTATTTGTCTCGGCGCCTATTCGGCCGCGCCTATTCGTCCTGCTCCGCAGGTGGGGGTTGGGATCAGTTAAGTGTGGCCGGTCGAGTGCGGACATTATGAGAATTGGCCGGTTGATGTACCCATTAAATTTTCCGAGAACAGCGTCTCTCGTTCTCGGAACAACTTCTCATGTTCTCGGAACAACGTCTTCCGTTTTCAGAACAGTGCTCTTGGAACAATTCTCCCTGTATATAAATCAGCTGAGTCCTTGTTGTTTAAGCTGATTAAAAAGGATTAAGAGGGATATAGGAGGAGTTAGAGGATTTAAGTGAATATCAAGATGTGTGCGTGACATCGGCTGATCAAGAAGAATAACTGTGGAGTGGTATAAAGGGATTTTAAAGGATTAAAGGGGATACCCGTCCAAATCACCGGATATCACCGATATCCCATTTGATCCGTATACATCCAACTTAATCCTCAGACATCTCCCTATACCCTTAATCCCTCTATATCTCCTATATCACATAATCCTCATAAATCTCTTAGCTCACTTAAGCCTATACACTCATACCGTCTTAATCACTTAAAATCCCTCAATTCTTACGACATTTTAACACTAAAAATGAAAAAAATTTTTCTCGAAAAATCCGGAAAAAATTCCGGATCCGGTCCGGAATCGGGTAAATTCTGTCGGACTCCGGAAATTATTTTTACCGGATTAAAACCGGACCGGATTAATCCGGAAAAATCCGGCCGGATCCGGTCCGGCATGAGTGTGAAATTCAAAATCCGGTTTCCGGACCCGGAAAAATGATTTTGCCGCGCACTAGTAAATATGCGTTTTTTCTCATTAAATTTACCCTCCATTGACCTTAATTTGACCTAAAGTTGTATTAAACTAAACTTTAGTAATTGAAAGTAAATTTGTTATTGAAAGATTGTGTTCATTAATTGAGTTAACCTCAACTAGAGTTTGAGAGAAAAATATAAATAAAATAAATGTTAGAACCTTGGACCTTAATACAAGTATATATTTATAATATTTAATTTAAAAATAAATAAAGGAAACAATGTTTTTATTTTTAATTCTTTTATTCTTAATAATATTATCATTTTGGAATTTTATTTGGAAACGTCGTAATTTACCTCCAGGGCCAACTCCTTTACCAATTTTTGGAAATGCTTTTGCAATGGATAGGTTACGTGAGAAATAATAGGTGTTTCTTCTCTTTTTAAGCTTCTTCTTAATTTAACTCTCTCTTTAAATTCAAGTTCAAGCCAATTCAAATAAATATTTATTTTAAAGAGGCAATACAATTCAAATAACAAATTAAAAGGAATAATAAAAAGGGGGAACGAACACTCAAAGAACAAACTTTTATAAAAATGAACTATTTTGGGAAAAAATGAATTTCTTAAATAGGAACATAAAAAGGGATAAAATGTCATTTATTTATTTAAATTAAATTAAAGTCAAATTGAGTCTAGGTTCACCACATCTCCACCTTCTAAAAAGACGAGTCCCTCGGCTTTGAATCGGCTGCGAAAGGGGTGGTTCATAAACGGTCACGTGATCTGCTTCCTTCATAACGTCTAATCCTTTCAAAGACAGAACGCCTAGGGGTTCGGTCGCCTAGACCTCGCCCTCTTCGATTTTCATTCCCATGCCAACGGCTTCTAGGAGTTTGGTCGCCTAGACCGCGCTCCCTCCGATTTTCATTTCTCATTGAGTTCCTTCCACTTCTTTCATTTCTCGGAACAACAATTTTTGATTTGACGTTTCGAACGCCTAGTTCATGAACTGGCATTAGGTTTGCCTTCAATGTTTCAATTTGTGTATCGGCTTTAAATGACCGGCTCTTAAACTTACCACCTCTCCCCTCCTCGTATTTAGATAATTCCGTCCTCGGAATTGTTTCAAGAGTTTTTCTATCTTCTTTCCCTTTAAATTCTCCTTTTAGGTTCAAACATTTTTCAATTCCTTTTATCAATATTGAATATTTCAATTTTAAATTCTCATTTTTGTCTCTCATCTTAGCCATTTTCTTCTTTTCATAAATTCTTGAAATTCTCAATTTTCTTCCTTCAAAATACGATTCACTTGATTCAAACGCATTTTTAATTGAAGCTGGATCAATAAATTCGATGTAACCAACTCCTTTGCAAAGTCATCAAATTCAACACTCAATGTTTGGATCCGTGTCTTATAAATGACTCTAACTGCATCCGTGTTTTGATCTCCTTTTTCGTTTCCAAAATCAATTAAATCACTATTTGGAACGTCTAATAATTTAAATCCCAATTTGCCTAGTGAGTTTGTGCCGAAAAGTAAATCGTAGCCAAATGGAGCATCAGTTATGTGAAAACAAGTTTTAATTTCTTCTTGGTTTTAACGCTTTATTTCCAGCTCAACAATTCCATGGCATTCTAGCTTTTGTCCATTAACATCAGAAATCTTTGTTTTGGCTCTCGAAAATCCAATGTTCTTTAGTTCTATCTCTTTGTCTTTAAGCATTTTTAAAAGAAAATTTGAGCTTATTAGCGAAATTTGAGCGCCTCCATCTAGCATTCCTGTTGCGGGTAAACCTTTTACGTTAACTTTGATTGACATTACTGGGCCTATGGAGTTCTTTATTATCTCTGCTTTTGCTTCTTGCTCAGGAATTTTCTTAAGCTCTTCTTTAATTTCCAAAATGTTTATCCCACAAGAGTTGACGTGATTTTTAGGGATTTCGTCATGGATAGTTATGCAACCGTTTTTAAGTTGATTGCCTGATGGTGGGAGTGCTCTTGGTTGGCCATTTCCTCGCCAAACTGCTGCGTTTCTATTTGGCTCGTTAATATTATTTTTGGTATTCAGAAATGTTCTATTAGCTCCAGTAGCAGCTGCCACGTTGTCTTTCGACATATATTGATTATTTCGATTAGTTAAGCAATCGCGTGAGAGATGACCTGGTTTTCCACAGTTAAAGCAGGTAATTTCATTTCGAGGGGTAAAATTATTATTACGTTGTGAGAATTGTTGGACAGGAGGTTTAGACTGGAAGTTAATATGACGAGTCGCTTTCTGTGTCGATTCTGCTCTAGCTGCCAGAGAAACGAAACTGTCAAAACTCATCCCGTCTTGTCGAGCTATTTCAAGATTAAGTGCAAGGTTTGAGTCACCGATACTTCTTATCAAATGCTTTATTGAGTACTCATCCAACAAATTATTTGTCATCCCTGGGTAAGCTCGTTTGACTAAAGATGCAATTCTATTAGCCAGTGAATCAATATTCTCGTTTTCCCGTCTCTTAACTCCGGACATAAGTTCGTCGAATGCACAAATTTCTTTTGTGTCTGTCGTTTCGAGAATACGGAGCATTTCGCGTCGAACCGATGAATAAATAAACGGAGAATTTCCTAAAGCGGTATTAAAAGCTCTTTCCGCTCTTCCACTGATTTTAGACTCCAAGGCTTTTAATCGTACAACATCTGATATCCCTTCAGTTGCGGAATCGAATTTTTTGAAGAATGTCTTGATTTGATCTACACCTTCAGGACCTTTCAAATCTGGAATTTTGTCTAAAGCCCACGACAGAGACATTCTATCAAAGCTGTGCATGAACCCAGCGAAATCAGTTGTGGGTCTTTGGTTAGTTTCACTATTGATCGGTGGCTGCGCCACTTGTGTAACAGGCTGCTGGAAAGTTTGTTGGGGCTGAGTTTGGTGAATATTGTTCATTTGAGGTGGAAAATTTTGCGGATTATTCGTCGGAATTTGCGAATACTGCATGAACTGTGGGGGATACATGGGCATTAACATAGGCATTTGACAATTTGGAAATTGCGCATACATTTGCTGATTTGGGAACTGCTGAGTCATAACAGGCATGTTCAGGAATTGCTGTGTCATAATAGACATGTTCGGAATTTGGTAAGGAAAACAAATATTCTGTGCATTATTATGTGCTGGCGAGGTTTGAGTTTCGTTTGTTCTCATAACATTTTCCTCCCCAATTTTTTGTTTATTATTTTTATTACCGTTCAATAGTTGCTGTTCCTCTTCAGGTGTCAAAGACGACAGAGCATTTTCTCCCATTTCACTTTCAACATCAAGAATATCATCCATTCCTGAATTTTGAATATTAGAAGAATTTTCAGTAGCTTCTTTTTCTATAGCTTTATCTTTCGACCTATTTCTTGTTAAAACAGGGGAACGGACTATCATTAATTTTCTATTAACTTTGTTTATGCTCACCTAGAGCTTCTGATGAGTCACAAAAAAATTCAATTCAAAGTTTCCAAAGTTGTGCCCACCTAGGGTCTTTTGTTGAGTCAATTTGTTTGCAGCAATGAAATCGATTGACTGCCAAGGTCAACTAAAATTAAAAAAAATTTCGTTTTCTTGTTTGTTTCTTTTTATACCCACCTAGGGTCTTTTGCAGATTTTTAAAAAAAAATTGATTTTTCACCCGCCTAGGGTTTTTGTTGAAGAAAATAATTAAAGTTTTTCAAGCTCGCCTAGAGCAAAACTTTCTAAAATTTAAAATTTTAAGTCGAAGCTCGCCTAGAGCTGTTTAGGTGCTCGCCTAGAGACTTTAATTCAATAAGATAAAAATTTGTTGTTGCTCGCCTAGAGACTTCAAATCACAAAATTCAAAATCGATCTCGAGACCGTTGAAAAATTTTAGAAAATTTTTCTTCTCCAGGAGCGCCACGTGAGAAATAATAGGTGTTTCTTCTCTTTTTAAGCTTCTTCTTAATTTAACTCTCTCTTTAAATTCAAGTTCAAGCCAATTCAAATAAATATTTATTTTAAAGAGGCAATACAATTCAAATAACAAATTAAAAGGAATAATAAAAAGGGGGAACGAACACTCAAAGAACAAACTTTTATAAAAATGAACTATTTTGGGAAAAAATGAATTTCTTAAATAGGAACATAAAAAGGGATAAAATGTCATTTATTTATTTAAATTAAATTAAAGTCAAATTGAGTCTAGGTTCACCACAGTTAAAATAATTATTTTGATCATAAAATAAGAGACTTAGATTAATTTATGAACAATTCCAAATTTGGGCAAAAGAATTTGGGCCAGTTTACACAATTTGGATGGGTGAAGTACCTATAGTTATGGTTACTGATTACGAATTAATTCGTGATTTGTTTGTTAAAGAAGGGGATATTTATGCTGGAAGGCATTTTTTGGTAGATTTGTTTCAGGAATTTAGAGGTTTGTTTGTAATAATACTATTTATTTTTGGAAGGAAATTTGAATAAACCTTTTTATATAGGGAAGTTTAAGGCAGGATGGGAAGTTTAGATGTTCAAAAGTTCAAACCTTTGCTAGACTCTTATCATGGTAAAAGAAAAATAGCCGATTACATAAACTAAAAAATAAAACAAAATTATTACAATAATAAAGAGAAAAAATTAAATTATTTAAAAATAGCTGCTAAAAATCTAAAAGGAGGGGTAACACGAATGGAAGGAGAACAATGGAAGATTATTCGTCGTTTTGGCCTTCAATCTATGCGAAATTTGGGTGTTGGAAAGAATGAACTTGAAAATAAATTAATTAAAGACCTACAAAATTTTATTGAAAAATTAAAAGAAGAATTAAATACAAATATTACCGGATAAATTAATTTACAAAAATATATTGACAGAATTGTTGGCTCAACAATTAATCGTCTTCTCTTTGGTTACGCTTTTGAAGATGTTATTTTCCTTCTAATAATTTTTAGTTTTCGATTCAATTTTAGGATCAAATAAACGAATTTTATGAATTAAAAAATATTATGGATAATGAACTTGAATTATTGTCAAGTATTACTGGACGAATGTTATTATCCATGCCTCGTTTACGTTATTTACCGGTCTTTTCAAAAACATTTAAATTATTGGATGATAATATAGAAAAAGTTTTTATTTATATAAATAGAATAGTTTATGAAAGAATTAATAAAATAAAATTTGGAGAAAATGAAGAACCAAAGGATTTACTTGATTATTTTTTAAAACAATCAGATGAAGCAAAAAATGCTAATTGGTCTGACGAAAAAAAGGAAAACTTTGAGTGAGTGCCGCTGGAATTTTGTTTTCGGGAACGTTAGGCTCAAAAAATAAATCGCATTCCCCCTCTCTAATATTTAATTTTAAAGTTTGAAGAATTTGGCACCTTTTTCATTTGATTTATTCATTGCTGGACAGGAAACAACAGCAAAAACACTTGGTTTTCTAGTTTTATATTTGTTACTAGATCAGCGCGTTCAGAAGAAATTGCATGAAGAATTAGACAATTTAAGAGGAGAAAAAATTAAAAATGGTCTTGATGATTATTTTACAATGAGTGATAGAACCAAATTACCTTATTTAAATGCTGTCATAAATGTGAGAATTAAAAATAAAATTTTAAACAAAAAATGTTTTTGAGAGTTGATATTGTTATTTTAATTTAATTATTTTAGAATATTTTTAAAAAACTTTAGAAATTATTTGTAAAATTAAGGAAACTCAACGTTTGGCAAATTTACTTCCAATAAATCTTGCCCACCGTACAATGAGTGATGCAAATATATTAAATAAATTCAATCTTAAAAAAGGCACTCCAATAGTTCCACAAATTTGTTGTGTTCTTTTTGACGAAAAAGTTCAGAGAATTTATTTATTAAAATTTTCATATAAAAATTTAAGATATTTCCACGTCCTTATAGATTTGAGCCTGAACGATTTCTAGATGATCAGGGTATGCTAAAACGTGTAGAGCAATTAATTCCATTTGGTATTGGTAAAAGTTATACTTAACAAATTATTTGAAACTTTGTAAATACTATTGTAAATACAGTCCCATTAGACCATATTTTTTGGAAATAGTATACCTTAATGGCAAACAAAATGTAATATGTACTTCTTCATCTAATAATTTATCTTTAATATTTATCTAATCTATATCTCATTATCTATTTAATAACTTCTTTTAGACACTAGTTTCATCTTTAAGGGTTGTATTTACAAGAGAGGCCCAACGGATCGAAAAATTAAGAATTTAAATAATTAAAATTTAAATTGATTAAAGAATTTGTATGGGAGAATCTCTGGCCAAAATGGAAATATTTTCTTTCATTTTGAAGTATTTAAATTTAGAGAATTTTTAAACATTTTAATTTTAGGTTCTCCCTGTAGATCCACTTAATCCCCCTTCAAGTGAAAAAAGACGCGGTCTTACTGTTGCTCCCATTCATTATAATTGTCGTTTGTTTGCTCGAAACATTAATAATTAATTTAATTTATTATTCAATATACCGTATTTCTTGAAATAGTACTCCCGGCAGTATATTTTTCAACCCTCCTCCAAAGGGGAGTATTATTTAAGGGGGGAGTGTCTTTAATCAATTTAAATTTTAATTATTTAAATTCTTAATTTTTCGATCCGTTGGGCCTCTCTTGTAAATACAACCCTTGGAGATGAAACTAGTGTCTAAAAGAAGTTATTAAATAGATAATGAGATATAGATTAGATAAATATTAAAGATAAATTATTAGATGAAGAAGTACATATTACATTTTGTTTGCCATTAAGGTATACTATTTCCAAAAAATATGGTCTAATGGGACTGTATTTACAATAGTATTTACAAAGTTTCAAATAATTTGTTAAGTATAACTTTTACCAATACCAAATGGAATTAATTGCTCTACACGTTTTAGCATACCCTGATCATCTAGAAATCGTTCAGGCTCAAATCTATAAGGACGTGGAAATATCTTAAATTTTTATATGAAAATTTTAATAAATAAATTCTCTGAACTTTTTCGTCAAAAAGAACACAACAAATTTGTGGAACTATTGGAGTGCCTTTTTTAAGATTGAATTTATTTAATATATTTGCATCACTCATTGTACGGTGGGCAAGATTTATTGGAAGTAAATTTGCCAAACGTTGAGTTTCCTTAATTTTACAAATAATTTCTAAAGTTTTTTAAAAATATTCTAAAATAATTAAATTAAAATAACAATATCAACTCTCAAAAACATTTTTTGTTTAAAATTTTATTTTTAATTCTCACATTTATGACAGCATTTAAATAAGGTAATTTGGTTCTATCACTCATTGTAAAATAATCATCAAGACCATTTTTAATTTTTTCTCCTCTTAAATTGTCTAATTCTTCATGCAATTTCTTCTGAACGCGCTGATCTAGTAACAAATATAAAACTAGAAAACCAAGTGTTTTTGCTGTTGTTTCCTGTCCAGCAATGAATAAATCAAATGAAAAAGGTGCCAAATTCTTCAAACTTTAAAATTAAATATTAGAGAGGGGGAATGCGATTTATTTTTTGAGCCTAACGTTCCCGAAAACAAAATTCCAGCGGCACTCACTCAAAGTTTTCCTTTTTTTCGTCAGACCAATTAGCATTTTTTGCTTCATCTGATTGTTTTAAAAAATAATCAAGTAAATCCTTTGGTTCTTCATTTTCTCCAAATTTTATTTTATTAATTCTTTCATAAACTATTCTATTTATATAAATAAAAACTTTTTCTATATTATCATCCAATAATTTAAATGTTTTTGAAAAGACCGGTAAATAACGTAAACGAGGCATAGATAATAACATTCGGCCAGTAATACTTGACAATAATTCAAGTTCATTATCCATAATATTTTTTAATTCATAAAATTCGTTTATTTGATCCTAAAATTGAATCGAAAACTAAAAATTTTTAGAAGGAAAATAACATCTTCAAAAGCGTAACCAAAGAGAAGACGATTAATTGTTGAGCCAACAATTCTGTCAATATATTTTTGTAAATTAATTTATCCGGTAATATTTGTATTTAATTCTTCTTTTAATTTTTCAATAAAATTTTGTAGGTCTTTAATTAATTTATTTTCAAGTTCATTCTTTCCAACACCCAAATTTCGCATAGATTGAAGGCCAAAACGACGAATAATCTTCCATTGTTCTCCTTCCATTCGTGTTACCCCTCCTTTTAGATTTTTAGCAGCTATTTTTAAATAATTTAATTTTTTCTCTTTATTATTGTAATAATTTTGTTTTATTTTTTAGTTTATGTAATCGGCTATTTTTCTTTTACCATGATAAGAGTCTAGCAAAGGTTTGAACTTTTGAACATCTAAACTTCCCATCCTGCCTTAAACTTCCCTATATAAAAAGGTTTATTCAAATTTCCTTCCAAAAATAAATAGTATTATTACAAACAAACCTCTAAATTCCTGAAACAAATCTACCAAAAAATGCCTTCCAGCATAAATATCCCCTTCTTTAACAAACAAATCACGAATTAATTCGTAATCAGTAACCATAACTATAGGTACTTCACCCATCCAAATTGTGTAAACTGGCCCAAATTCTTTTGCCCAAATTTGGAATTGTTCATAAATTAATCTAAGTCTCTTATTTTATGATCAAAATAATTATTTTAACTGTGGTGAACCTAGACTCAATTTGACTTTAATTTAATTTAAATAAATAAATGACATTTTATCCCTTTTTATGTTCCTATTTAAGAAATTCATTTTTTCCCAAAATAGTTCATTTTTATAAAAGTTTGTTCTTTGAGTGTTCGTTCCCCCTTTTTATTATTCCTTTTAATTTGTTATTTGAATTGTATTGCCTCTTGTCGCAAAACAAATTAAAATTTTAATATTTTAATTTTATTTTAATATTATTTTGCTGGACAATTCTAAGTTCTATTTTATTCAAGTCCTTTCCTTTTTTATCTTCAATTTAGTCTAGTTTAAAATCAATTTTAATTTCAAAAGATTTATTCAAATTTTTTAAAATATAATTTAAAAATTAATAGAAAAACTTAATAATTTTAAAGGATTATTTGAAATAGAAATATTAAAAGATTGAAAAAGTGAATGTTAAGCCTATGAAATTCATTGATTATAAAGCAAAATTTAGGGCGTGAATTTAAAAAAGATGCGACAAAAAATAGGCGTGGTTTGAGTTTGATAACAAAAATTCAAAAAACATAGGCGGGATTTGAATAACCAAAAATGTTGGGATGATTCATTTTTAATAAAAAAAAAATAAATTTCAAAGAATTTAAAAATTATTAAAAAAAATATTTTGAAGAATAAATTTAAAAGTCGCTTTTAGCGACAGTGAGGGCGGAAAGAAGAAAGATAGAAAAATAATAAATGAAATTCTTTTTAGTTTAATTTAAATAAGATAAAAATTAAGGAATTTCATTTAAAGAGAAAAATCTTTACGAATTAGAACTAGAACATAACATAGCTGAGTTCTCTTCATCCCAACGAGCAGCATTCTGAATTACATAATTTAAGTTTTCTTGAATCATCTCCAGTTTTGTATAATAAGAAGCACGATCATTTACAGTTCGACATCCCGTTTTTGGCATTAAATCAATACAGTCGTTAGCTAGTGAACGTATACGAAACAAATGTCCCACTTCACGATGGTGTGATCCACGATCAAATTCTTTTTTAGTTTTTTTTGTTTGTTGTTCCATTAACTTGGCTCTTTTACTTTTCAGGATGATCATAGCTTTATCTTCAGTCTTTTTTGGTGCATGCACAATAACAGGACTATGATAAAAAACATCCTCTTTCAGAGGTAATTGTCGTTTAGGAATTTTTGGCAAATCAAGTTTTTCTTTCTCATCGTCTTTCATCCTTTTGTTCAACAAATTATTAACAATCTTTATACCAACTTCTTTCTCATTTTCTTTTATTTTCTTCAAATCTGTTTCTTTTGATTCATTAGCTTTTTCTAAAATTTCAGAATCAATTTTGTCATTTTCTATTTCTATATTTTTGTCATTTATTTTATTTTCAATATTTATTCCTTTAGCATCTGGTTTATTACTAGAAACTATTATGGGGTCATGTACAAATTTATTCTTGGATGGACATGATCGGTTAGAGCTGATATGGTTATAGTAAACGTTTGGCGGAAAACCATTTTTTTCACATGTTAAACATTTTCTTTTCAACTTACTTTTAGTATTGTCTTTAATTTTATCAATTTTTTCTTCATCTACTTTTTCTTCGTCTACTTTTGAATGGTCGGAATCAGAAATATATTCACTAGTATCGTCTGATGAGTAATTAGGTTCATCCGTAATTTTAATTTCTTTAGAAGGAATTCGAATTTTTGGTGGCATGATCAATATTTTATTAAAGAATTCTAAAATTGTATAAAATTTTATAAAATTCATTTTGTCAAAAATTATTTTAAAAAATAAATTTGTAAGAAAAACAAAACATAAAAAAAATACAAAGAAAATTATTAATTTTTTCTTCGAATGATTGATAGCAAAAAATAAAAAACTTTTTACAAAATGAGGTCCTGACATGTCTATTTTTATACATCTTTCTGTGGTAAAACTTTTGGTTAAAAAATGATTCATTGATATACCAAATATTTTTCGTTAAACGATTATATACAAAAAGATTGTATCTTCTGTTTTTATTTAAAAAACAATTCGTAGGTGATTCATTAAAAGGGATAAAATGTTGGTCTTGGGAGAAAATAATAAATTTATTAATAAATAAAGGGTTGTCTTTATCAAATCTAATCAAACAAGGATTGTCCTTGTCAAGTCTCAACAAATTAGGATTTGACGCTCCTCCCGGCAGAATAAAAAAGGAAAATGAAAAAATTAACATTAATTTTAATAAATGTTTATATAATTTAAATAAAAACTTTAGTTTAATCGAAACAAATGTAAAGAAAAAACAGATGGCTAAAACTAAACAAAGCATAATTAAATTTTCTCCTTTTAAAACAAAATTGATTATGTCTGAACTAAATAAATTATTTAGTATTTCTTTTAAATAAGTCCAATAATTGTTATTCTTTTTCTCAGTATTTAGTTTAGAATCAGAACTTATTACTTTTCTGTTATTTTCAAATTCTAAAATGTTGATTAAGAACAATATACCTTTTAATTTTACATCTGAAGTTCCTCCAAGACAATTTATGGTACATTTTAGGTCAATATGAGCTTTATCAAAATTTAATCTCTTAATTTCATTATGCCCAATTTCTGTACATTTTGTTGAAAAGAGTATCTCATTTTCACAATTAATTTCGGCTAAAGCAACTCCATGATCTGTAGTACACGTGTAATTTAAATCTGCGCCTGTTCGGCAATTGTAACATCCTCCAAATTCATGTATTTTCAGTACACATTTATTCCAATCATCTAAAGTAATTAATCTAAAATTATTCATTTTAATTACAAGATCAACAGGCATATCTAGTATTTCGGAATGAACAATATTATTATCAAAATCTAGATTTAACGTTTGTGTCTTTATTGGCAAAATCTTTGGTGTATTTAAGATTAAATTTTCTAATTCTAAATTTTTGCATTTACAATCTACCTTTTCATTATCGTGATCAGGTTGGCATTCTTGGCAAATTTCTTCTCTTATTTCACATTTAAACTTCAAAGCGCTTTCGTAATTTTTACAATAAACATTTGAATATATTTCATCGGTTAGCGCAAAAAATTTTTTATTAGTAATAAATTTTCCTATCATATCTGGTTCTGGAGCTAGAGAAAATTGAGTAACAGACAAAGTAATGTTTGAATCATGTACTATATTCCCTGGATGTAATTTAAATATTGATTCATGTTTCTCATTGGTTTCATTTCCGATAAATAATTTCTCAATTTTAATTTCAACTACAGGCATCCATTTACATGTGAAAATTTCATAAATATCAGAGTCTGTAGGCTCTACATAGATTCGGTAAAATAAACAACTAGAACCAGTATTTAAACCACATTTACACCATATGAAACTACACGAAGCAGTACAACGATTATATCCGGTATAATTTTCCCAAGGTTTTAACTCGTGTATTTCTTGAACCCAATTATTATTAACTATTAAACAATTATCATGATGACAGCTTCCTGTCATAGGACAAGATTTAACAGTTTGAATTTTAACTTCGTATGATCTTAAATATTTTTCAACTATTGGTTCACAAATCATTTTAAAACTTTCAGGAGTTAAGTTTATTTGTCCGAGAATTTTACTATTACTATCCTTTAGTATAATAGACTGTTTTACTTTATTATTCAACATTGTTAAAGTTTCAACAAAATTCCATGAACAATCAATTTTTCCATTTCTTCTAACGCAATTTTCAGTCAAAGCTGTTCTTGAAATCATTTCAGCGTGGATAATATTGACGAAAATCAATGAAATTAATAGACGTCTTTTTAAAATCCACCTTCTCGGACTTCTACTCATTTTCTTTACTTTTGTGCCTTTATTTAAACAAAATCTGATTATTTTAAAAATATTTTTGAATAAACACAAGAAAATTGAACAAAATATAATTAAGCCAATTATAGTTAAGCTTATCAAAAATATAGAAATTATTGGTGAACATGTATGATTTATCATTCTTTCTAAACAAAAGTAACAAGGGATTAATTTACATAAATCCGTTGGTTCACATTTAATTTCATATTTCAGTAAATTTCTATTTTTTGACCAAAAATTTACTTCACAATGGTGATGAGTAATTAATACTTCTTTATCAATTTCGAAAACAAATTGTTCAACTCTGGCATGCGTTGTACACGGTCCTTCACTACAACATATTTCGTATTTATCGATTATTTCAGGAGAATTTATCAGTAT